CATAGCTGTCACACACGGTACAGACCTGTCTAACACTTTTAAGAGGGCACTACAAGACCAAAGAGAACTCAACTAGTGCCACTGCATTACACCTTGCACCATTYGGCCACCTAYAGTAGCCCCTACACCATTCGGCCACCTGCAGCAGCCCTTACACCATTCTGTCACTGTAAACACAGCCTGTTCTTGGAATTTTTTCCAAGAACCAGGGCAACAACCAACCTAGTTCTCTAGGTTCTGATCAGCCCTCGCAGGTTCTTGAAGATTTTCAACGCAGAAATACCAACAGTACAAATAGAAGAGATAACCAACCTTCTTTTGAGAGCTTCAGCCAACCATTCACTGCTGAAGTCGTTTTCTTAAGGAAGGAGGTTCTGCGCACCAGAGAGAAAGAAGAGCTGAGATGTTTCAGGCCTAGGACGAACCAGTTTTCTCCACTGGCAGCCCAGAAAAGAAAAGGAGAGAACTGAAGCACGAACTGAAGCAGGTCACGAACCCCACTCTGATACCATGTTTCGACTGCTGCTACAGTAGTCCGAATCAGTAAGGAGAAGAAGAAGAAGAGAAGAAGAAGAAGAAGATGAAAGAACTGTCGAACATGATAGACTAAACCCTATCAGTCGACCTCTTAATAGTGATTAGGCTCTAATTAATTGTACAAAGACTAAAATGCCCCCACTTAAGTATGGGACAGAGAGTCTCTAATAAGACTGCCACATAAGCACATAACTTAACAAAGGTGAGTTGACTAATCTACCCTTATTCGGCTAACTCTAACATATGTATTTTATTCTTTAAGTATAAAAGTTAATGGGAGAGGTGACCAGATCATTATTGGCTTTCTCTTCCCTCTTCTCTCAGCTTTTTCTCCTTCTTCTCTTTTCAAGAGACCTTCTTTTCCTGGGACAATGTAACTCCCTCTCAGGCATATGCCTTTGTATTTGGAGAAGAGCGTAGTAGGAATGTTATGATAAGAAATCATGGCATTGAGCAGTCAGACATGGTTAGCACAACCAAACGTAAGCCTAGTGGGGATAAGGGTGGTAGTGAAAATAAAAGGGAGGATAAGAAGGACCGCTGAATTCGAAAATATGGGCAATATGTGAATCAAAGACATTTAGCTAGCTTCAGCTCTTCACTGAGTGGATAGAAGGGCAAAAACAGTTCAGGTGATGGTCATACCACTTCTTTTGCTCGTACACGTAGTAAATATGCTAAGGAAGAACTTCCCTAGATTATAGACTCGAGATCCTTTAAGCATATGACCAATATATCTGCTTAATTTACTTCATATCAGCTGTGTTCTAGTAGAGATAGAGTCTCTACAACAGATACTTCCCATGTCCCTAATGCTGGATGGGGCTGTTTCAAGTGACTGACATCATTGCTGTACCTTTTGTTCTACATGTTCCTAGACCGCATACTAATCTTTCATTTGTTAGTAGATTAACTAAAAGTTTGAACTGTTTAGTGATTTTTCTTCCTACTCATTATGTTTTTCAAGATCTAGAGTGGAGGATGATTGAGAGTGATCGTGAGGCTAATGGAGTCTACCTTCTTGATGCACTTCTAAGTTACCATAGTCATCATGTTAGTGGTAGGAGTAATGGCTCAAAGTCAGTAAGTTAGATAATCCTTTGGCATAATCGATTAGGGAATTATCCTTTGGTTCCTTATGTTTTTGTTTCCAAACTTATTTAAGTCTACTAAGTTGTTGTAGAGAAGATGGACCGAATGGTCCATAGGTTGTTTATTCTTTCTTATTATTTATGTTTTTCTGTAATGGGCCTTATTCTGGGCCCATCTATATTAAGTTCTTTGTAAATTCTTGCCCAACTAAGGGCCTCCTTGTAATTATTCAAATATATCTTAATAAAATAGTGTTAGGGTGCTGAGAGAG